CAGGCTTCCCGCCGAGCAGGGAGCCCGATGCGGGGCTCGATCCCAGGACCCTGGGATCATGACCTGAGCCGAAGGCAGACGCTTAACTGAGCCACCCAGGTGCCCCAGACAAAAATACTGTAAAACACAGAATAGTATAATACAGACTTCTCCACCTCACCCCCAGATGCTCATCACCCATCTCCAGCAGTGATCAGGTCATACCTGAGCTTGTTCTGTCTGTTTCCCGCCCCCAGTCAGTCTGTAGCAGATGTGGACCTCATACCACTTACACACACTGCATACTGTTACCACGTCTCAGATGCTTTATCATATTTTGAAAATCCAAAATTTCTTAATACCTTAAAATACCCAGTTTACGTTTCTGATTGTCTCATAAACACCTTTTTTCTTTAACAAATTGTTCAAATCAAGATTGAATGTAATAAGGTCTAGTTCATTCAGCCTCTTAGGTTTCTTAGGCTGAAGGTCTCCGTGCATCTCTCCCCCTTTCTGGTAGCACATAATGTTGGAGGAACTGGGTTATTCGTCCTAGTAGATTTTTCCAGTTTAGATTTTGCATCCCCATGCGGTTGTTAAACATGTTCCTCTGTCCTCCACATGTCAGTCAGAAGTTGGATCCTGAGACCCCATCAGATACAAGCTCAAGCTTTGGCAGAACTGCTTCCTGGGTGGTGGTGGTATTCTGTCAAGAGGTAGATGCTGACTGATTGTCTCCTTGTGTGAAGTGTGCAGCTGTTTGCACTCAAAGCCCAGACCCATTCACCCATCCTCTGTTAGAACCACTGCACAGTGGGGCGCCTGGGTGGCTCAGTGGGTTAAGCGTCTGCCTTCGGCTCAAGTCATGATCCCAGGGTCCTGAGATCGAGCCCCGCATCAGGCTCCTGGCTCAGCGGGAAGCCTGCTTCTCCCTCTCCCTCTGCCTACTGCTCTGCCCGCTTGTGCTCTGTCTCTCTATCTCTGTGTCTCAAATGAACAATAAAGAAAATCTTAAAAAAAAAGAACCACTGCATGAGGCCACTGGCCAGGGCTCAAGTCCGGCCCTGTGTTACACCGCTGTCTGCAGCATCCCCTCTGGTTGGGAATCGGGGCCAGACTTTTGCACAGTTTCTCTCCCTCTGCCTCCTCTTCTTCAATTATGTTCTTAGAAGCCATTCTCAGGAGTGGAATGATGATGGCCAAGGGAAGAGCATTTTAATAGGCTGTACTCTGGGTGGTAGTGCTTTTCAAAGGAGCGTGTCCCCTTGCCTTCCACCCAGTCCTGCCTGCGCACCCCAGCTACACCATCTCCCAGGTTTTTGCAGGGAGTGGGGGTCGGGCTGGAAATTCCTGATCCTTTCTTGTTCCTAATGGGCCTCGCTCCAGCGGCGTACTCTCTGTGTTCCAGCTTTGGGGGAAAGTTGGCTTGTCAGCCCTTCAGAGTTAAAAAGGCAGTTCAGAAAGGACTTTTTTTTTTTTTTTTTTTTTTAAGATTTTATTTATTTGACAGAGAGCAGGAGAGCACAGGCAGAGGGAGAGGCAGAGGGAGAGGGAGAAGCAGGCTCCCCTGCTGAGCGGGGAGCCCGACGTGGGACACGATCCCAGGATCGTGACCTGAGCCGAAGACCGATGCTTAACCGACTGAGCCACCCAGGCAACCCTAGAAAGGACTTTTAATTGGAGAGGGGAAAACACAAAACCAGCTTGGAAATCAAATAGACAAAGGCCGGGCAAGCTTCCCTAGAGGAGACACTCTTTTCTTACTTTGTTTCTACCTATTATAAAAGCACATGTATTCATTCTAGAAGATTTTTAAAAATACAGATAATCAAAGAGAAGAAAAGCACAAACCACCCGCCATCTCATATCACCCAACGTACACAATTTGGTATATCCTTTCTACTGTACTTTTTTTGTTTTAGGTTTCGATTTAAGCTGGGGTGCTTTTTTCACATGATACATCAGAAACATTTTCCATCACAGATGGCTTTTACTGGCTGCGTAGTGTTCCTCCGTCTGGTGCGGTGAAGTGTGACGGAGGCCCCTTCATTGCGCAGTAACACGGGGTGCAGCCTTTCCACCGTGAGCGGCGCCAGGCTGAGCTTTCAGGCGCAAGCATCATGCCTGGCTCCGATCCTTCTTAAGGGATCAGTTCCTTGAACCGGACTTGAGTGCTTCGGGGTTCTGTCCACCCGGCACTTGCAGTTTCTGTTCCCCCGTCGGCGGCGCACAGCAAGGCTGGCCAGCCCCGCTGCCCCGGGGAGTTCCCCCAGCTCCCCGTTCACTGCCTGCCTTAGACTTCACTTTTCCCAGTTTGTGGCTTGTAGGAGAGGACTCTGTGAGCTGAGCCACGTCAGCTGAAGGTCAGGGGCCAGCCTGTGAGCTGGGACGCGGCCAGGCAGGGCACAAGCAGAAGCCGCCACAGTACAGCTGTGACAGTTTGCTGCACCGGGGTTCATCTTGTCTTTCTTTCTTTTTTGTTTTGTTTTTTTTTTTTTTTTAATGGACTGTAAGACTATCTTTCTGAATATATTGTCCTTCTAGAATAAAATTCTTGGTGTGCCTTAGTCAGCTGTTTCCTTGCTGAATGCATACTCCGTGCTTGGCCTCTATACCAGGAGCCATAGTTCCAAGAATAAGTAAAAGTACAAATCCTGGCCTCAAAGAACCCTGCCCGGCAGTAGTGGTAATACTCTTATAAGATACTTAGAGCCAAGGCCCTGTTAGGAAATTCTTTACCTGTATTAACTCACATTTTAGAGATAATGAAGGTGAGGCACAGGGAGGTTGTATCATTTACCCAAGAGCACACAGCAAGTTAAGTACATGGTGGAGCTGGTCTTGGAGACGTGTCCTTAGTGTCCTAGGTCCCACCGAAAGAGCTGTGCAAAGAGCTGTGCAAAGAGCTGTGGGGATGGTTCCACAGACGAGCATCCCCACACGGTGCAGACTGACGCAGCCATGGCCATACAGAGAATAGGGAGGACCTGCCTAGCACATTCTCCCGAACATACTAAGTGGGCAAGAAACGAAGTTGCAGACAAAGTATGTGTTGTAATCCACGTATGGGATTAAGTACATGTGGTGTATCACCAAAATGTAGCAGAGGTTCCCTCAGAGGGGTGGGGGAGGTGGCAGAGGAGAGACCTTTGACCTCTTACGTAGTATAGGAATCCTAGGGACACAGGGAATTCATAATGGATTCTCATACAGCTCCAGAACGGGACAGAACGCAACATTAAATATTATGTACTGCTGGGCGCCTGGGTGGCTCAGTCGGTTAAGCGTCTGCCTTCAGCTCAGGTCGTGATCCTGAGGTCCTGGGATCGAGCCCCGCATTGGGCTCCCTTGCTCAGTGGGAAGCCTGCTTCTCCCTCTGCCCTCTGCCCACTCCCCCGCTCGTGCTCTCTCTCTCTCTCTCTCTCTCTCAAATGAATAAATAAAATCTTTAAAGAAAAAAATTATGTACTGCCGCTAGAGGAATTTTATTGACCTGGCAAATACTCTTGCAAAAGCAGTATTTAGATAAAAGCAGATCAAAGTTTTATGTATGGAAAGCATGTGGAAGAGTCCGGAAGGAAGTATGGTACATTTAGGGGATAGGCTTGTGGAAAACCTAACTCTATACTTCTGATTTTCTGTAACCTGTTTGTATTCCAGTCATGTTGTGTTGTTTTGTTTTGTTTTTAATTCTGGGATAGTGTGGACATCCCATTCTTACATGACTGAGGCATGAAATCACATATGGTCATGTGGACGCCTTCCAGGCTTCCAGCTTCTATCCTGTAAGAACAGGCAGTGCACACCTGTGCCCCTGGGTCTGGCCCCGGAGCAGGCACTCACTCTCCACTGGTCCTTCCGGTGACTGAAGGAGGGGGCAGCGCTCCCCCACCCCAGGGCCCCCTCCGGTGACCTCCGTCCCTGTGCTTGCTTCCCACAGTGGCACTAAGGAAGACAGAAACCAGCCATCACCTCTCCCTAGACAAAGCCAGCAGCCCGCCCGAGATCTTCCAGAAGTCCTCGCAGTTGGCAGAGCTACCGCAGAAGCCACCACCTGGAGACCTGCCCCCGAAGCCCGCAGAACTGGCTCCCAAACCCCAGATCGGAGATTTGCCACCGAAGCCAGGAGAACTGCCCCCCAAGCCCCAGCTGGGCGACCTGCCCCCCAAACCCCAGCTGGCAGACTTACCTCCCAAGCCGCAGATGAAGGACCTGCCTCCCAAACCACAGCTGGGAGACCTGTTGGCCAAGTCCCAGACCGGAGAGGTCTCCCCCAAGGCCCAGCAGCCCCCCGACGTCACCCAGAAGTCGCACCCAACGGATCTCTCCCCAAACGTGCAGTCCCGAGACACCATCCAAAAGCAAGCGTCCGAAGACTCCAATGACCTCACACCCACCCTGCCAGAGACGCCTGTACCGCTGCCCAGGAAAATCAATACGGTGAGTAGAGGCCAGTTTTGAGGCTTTTGCAAACCCCCTGCCGCGCCCCGAAACCCAGCGGGAGGGTATGTGCGCCAGCAACACAGAAAAATCGCAAGCTTGTTCACCTGCACCGGCTGTGGTTCCGGTGGCGGGCAGAGCTGAGCCCAGTGGGTAGGGACGCGGGCGCTGGACTCCAGCAGGCGGGCTGCACGACCTGCTGTCACTGCATGACCTGGGCCCGTTACTTCTCTGGGCCTCAGTGCCCTTGGACACAGAAAGGAGCTGGAGCAGCAGCTGAGCTCACAGGCAGTAAGCGCAGTGACTGAGGAACGGCACCGAGCAGACACTCAGCAAGGGGTCACCCTTGTCTTAAAGCCGGGAGGATGACACTTTTCCTTTCTCAGAGTCACAGGAAGGCAGGTTCCCTCTCGGGGGTCTGAGAATCGTCCACTCAGTTCTCACTGCATCTTCCCGGAGGGACTGGAGGCAAAGCCCCAAGAGACTGGTGCAGGCAGAATTCGGTTGAAGTCCCACATTCCCTCCTTTTCATGAAATGCTTTCTGCTCTAAAATATACCGATTTTATTTTAATATAAAAATGGTTTTTTTGGGCGCCTGGGTGGCTCGGTTGAGTGACTGCCTTCGGCTCAGGTCATGATCCTGGAGTCCCGGGATCGAGTCCCGCATCGGGCTCCCTGCTCGGCAGGGAGTCTGCTGCTCCCTCTGACCCTTCCCCCTCTCATGTGCTCTCTCTCTCTCTCTCTCTCTCATTCTCTCAAATAAATAAAATCTTTAAAAAAAAAAATTTTTTTTCCCAAGAAACCCTTTTTTGGACAGGTGCTCCCGGAGGATTCAGTGGCCATTGGTCCTGCCCACGGCTGCACCCCAGCGGGGGGCACTGGCTTCCCAGGCTGAGGGAGCCCGGTTAATGAGGGAACTGAAAGGCCCCCCGCTCTGCACCACAGTTCTGCCCCCGCTCGTTATAAAAATAGCATTGCCGTAGAGCGTGGCACCTGCATGCTAAAGGAGGGGTCGGGAAAACACCCATTCTCCCACAGGCTGGAGGGCACTGTATTCAGTATGGCAGGTGCTCGTCACGAGGGCAGTGTCCCGGGAGCCCAGGCGCCCCAGATGGCCTTGTGCAGGATCCCGGCTCATGCTCTGCACTTGACAGTGGTTTTGTGCCCTCATTTAATCCTCCCCATGATCAGTGTTCCCCTGCGGGCCTTGGAGCTAAGACAACTAAGCCTTGCACTGCTGCGGTTCCTCCGGCCAGCACTGCCCTGGGACGGGCCGCAGAAAGGAGCGGGGGGACTGAGGGAGACACTGGGGCACAGAGAGAACTCACTGGACCCAAAACGTGGAGAAACGCAGCTCGCTTTTTTTTAATACTAATTATTGAATGAGCTAGGCACCAGAAACCTCCTTTAGAAGAGGATTTCTCTATTCCCATCTTCCTATTTGCAAAGAACCAGAAGTCCAACAGATAAAAGTGCAAGTGAAAACTGATCGTGAATTAGAACATTTTGGGGAGGGGCGCCTGGGTGGCTCAGTGGGTTAAGCGTCTGCCTTCGGCTCAGGTCATGAGCTCAGGGTCCTGGGATCGAGTCCCACATTGGGCTCCCTACTCTGCAGGGAGCATGCTTCTCCCTCTCCCACTCCCCCTGCTTGTGTTCCCTCTCTCGCTGTGTCTCTCTCAAATAAATAAAATCTTAAAAAAAAAACAAAAAAACATTTTGGGGAACTGCCTGGAATCCTCCCACCCCAGGCCGCCGCCCTGTTTAACCAGCATGTGCTGACTTAGTACTTTGCGTGAGGGGACTGAGAAATTTGTTTATGCTGTGCATTCAGTATGCAGAAGCTGCACATTTTTCTTTACATCATGTTTCCCAAGACCATTTTTAGACTCTGGTGTCATCTCTGCAAGCTGCTGTTGGGGGTGGGGGAGGGCAGGGTGCCTCAGGGGTTTTGGTGGGGCTGGATTTCGATCCCCACCCATAGTCTGCCCTCCCGTGAACATGATGGGCAGCGTGCCCTCCCGAATGCCAGGCTCCGTCCTAGTGCTCGGGGAAGAGAGAGGGAGCACCCAGCACCTGGGCACCTGGCAGATGGGCCTCCCCCTTGACAGAGGAGAAATTGAGGCGCAGTGAGGTTAAATCACGCTCCCAAGGTCACTGTGTCCTTTATTCCCGCTGAAGCCCCGTTTCTGTCTTGAAGGGGAAAAACAAGGTGAGACGAGTGAAGACCATCTACGACTGCCAGGCGGACAATGACGATGAGCTCACCTTCATGGAGGGGGAGGTGATCGTCGTCACAGGGGAAGAGGACCAGGAGTGGTGGGTACGTACCCTGCCGGCCACTTCATGCCCCCCCAGCGTTCTCACTGGCTGTCTTCCCTCACCACGGTCATGCTAGAGACGCAGCCGTGGAGCTTTGAAACGGGGTTGGGAGGATTAACGTGTGCCTGGGCTTGCCCCTCGTGCTCGCACAACCTGTGAGCCGCAGGTTTTTTTGGATGTGAGGCCAAAGCTCGGGCAGGCTAAGCATGTGACACAGCTAGGAGGCAGGCAGGCAAGATTCCGAAGCATCTCTGAGCCCAGAGCCTGAAGCGCAGGGCGCACAGAGGGTTTGCAAAAGCCTCAAAACTGGCCTCTACTCACCATTGCACGCCATCCTCAGGCTCCAGCCTTCCTTCACCGAGGCTGCAGTGTGTCTTTGTCGAGTGGGGCATGATACCTTCCTCACTTGACTTCAGAGGAGTAGATGAAAAATGTCTAACAATCCCTTTTATGTGAAAACTTGCTGCCTGGTGTCTGGAAGGAAAGGCCTCATTGTCCTCACAATGATGGTGAGGTGGCCGTGTGCGGATTCTCAGTGACAAGAAGGGCAGCCCAGTGGGCCTGTGATGTTCCGGCTGCGTCGGGAGTGAGGCTCCTGGGACAGCCGGCAGGCCAGGGGCGTCGTGGGTGGTGGCCTCACGTCTCTCCTGGCTGAGTGTTTCCCAGCATCAGCGTGGGGATTCTGCTCCCTTGGCAGCTGTGTGCCACCAGCCCAGAGGGACCCCGTCCTGTCTGCTGAGAAAGGGACCTGTGGTTCACAGTCGAGCCAGCAGAGCCTGCTCGGGCCCAGAAACACACATGCACGTACACACGCATCACATACGTACAGATGTGCATGCACCTTTGGCTTTTCTTTCTTTGGGCCTGGAGAGTGCCTCCAGACTCTTGATCAGAGCCGTGGGGATTCTGCTTGGACCGAAGCAGGGCTCTCGGGCAGGGGCAGTTTTGCCCTCCAGGGACCCTCGGCAGTGTCAGAGTTTTGATTGTCAGGACCCAGGAAGGGGGTGCCCTGAGCTCTGGCCAATGGAAGCCAGGGATGCTTGGGAGAACAGAAGCACTGGCCCAGAATATGTGGGGTGCTGAAGCTGAGACGCCCCGAAGGAAGTGATGAGGCCTCTTTTTCTCTCTTTCGGGGAGGGACAAGCTGGGGGTGGCCCCCGTGGCCCCTCCTGCCTCTGTTAGGGTTGGGCCTGCTCCTGGTGGGGAGCCTGCTCCAGAGTCACATTAGAATCATGACAAGGAGATGGGCTCTGAAGACCCTGGCGTGAGTCGCTGAGTCGTTCTCTGGCCTTGGCTAAGGCATGTCCCTTCCATAAGCCTGATTCCTGTTCAGAAATGGCACAGGAGTAAGCCCGCCTCCCAAGGATGTCCCGAAAACTCACTTGGGGATACACAGGCAGTGACCAGATCCTTTGCTAAGAAACCTGTGACGACAGCAGACACCCAGAGGGGGTAAGTGGGAAGTTTTCACTGGCGCCTCTGCCATCGTCCTCGGCGAAAATTCTGTGTGCCATCGGCACATCTGCCGAGCCAGACCTAAAAACGATGATTTCCGATTCACAAACCCGCTCACGTGCAGGACACCAACCGCCTAAGGCCCCCTGAGGCGGGTAAGCCAGGTCTGCAGTCAGTTCCACCCCAGCATGAGAGAAGCGGCCCAAGGTCACAGGCCTGGCGGTTCAGGGAAGCAGCCCGGGCGAGCCCGCACCCCTGCTCCAGCCGCCGCGGACACCGCGGGTGCTTTACGGGTGGAGATGGAGAGGAGAGCTGGCCCGGCTCCTAAAGCCCCCTCCTCTCTCTGCGTTTGTCATCTGAAGCCAGGCGCGTGTCCTGCTCTTTCTGTCGAAGGCTCGCGATGGGATTCTCTTTAACGCGACGAGTGTCGGTCTAACGGAGGTCATCGGGAAGTTCTCTCCGGGCACTGTGGTCACGGGCTTGGGCAGCGGACCGTGGAGTTGCCCTCACCGTCTCCTTCTCCCACGGCAACCAGGAAACAAGTTCTCCCAGAGCAGCCCTTCCCATCCGTGTGACGTTTTATGTAATCTCAGCACAGGCCTGAGAGGAAAGGGTATTTTAGCCCCATTTGACAGACAAGAGGCCCAGCCAGGTTTGTCTGAGGTCGCTCAGCAGGAAGGGCAGTTGTGCACCCCGTGAAGAGCACGGACTCTGGAGTCTGCAGCCTGCATGAGGCCACGGGCAGGTTCTTCCACGCGTCGGGGGGAGTGGACCCTCGGGGTAGAAGCTGAGCGTCCCAGGAAGCGCTCCCTCACAGGACGGCCGAGTGTGCGCGGAGCGGGCTGCACCTTCTGTCATTAGTTGTTCTGTTACGATTGCGTGTAGTCCCCCAAAGAGTGGGGGAGGGTCAGCGTGCCTTCAGCCTCGGGCCTGTGGGCCGAGTCCACGGGGACCGTGACCCACGGGGCTTGTCCGTGGGCAGCTGCCGGCCTCCAGCCTGACGACTCTCTCTTCTCCCTACAGATTGGGCATATCGAAGGACAGCCTGAAAGGAAGGGGGTCTTCCCAGTGTCCTTTGTTCACATCCTGTCTGACTAGCAAAAAGCAGAACCTTCAGATCGTCCACATCCTCACGCAGGACTGCTGCCTCCACGTAACCCCGTGCACACGTCTGTAAATAGCTGCTACAGAACGAGAGAGTCCCTGAAGGGCCACCTCAGGAGGGGATAAGGTGTGTGTAAATACCCTGTGGGCTTCTGCCCTCGCCAGTGTTGGGGGGGGCCCTGGGACCCGGCGCGCCTTCCTGGTCTGCCACGGCCGTCCCCGGCATCTCGCACTTCCGCCTCTGTGCTGTTGTCCCAGCAGACAGACGAAACCAGGAATCTAGGAACTGCTGGCTTTGCCAGTAAGAGTGGTCTCCAGCAACCGTTGAAAGGCGGAGAATCCACCCTGTGTCCCTAATGAAACAGTATTCTCAATTGTGTTACTGCAAATGCAACATTAGCGAAGAGGGGGTTCTGTTTTCCAGGTGAAACTTAGCTCCACGGCAGACCAGCCTGTAGTTTATCTGTGTACACAGTTTACAGCTACAAAAACCGACTTGGGTATTTATTACAGAGAAGTGCTTGATTCAATGTAAGTGTTACTCCTTCAGCAAAATAGTCACCCACCCAGCACCTTTGTGGCATCTTCTGGTCCCTGCAGCCTCATGCAGGTTAGGCCAGGTGGGTGTATACTGTCTTCTGGTGAGGAGTGCCCGCCCCTGAGATATTACCTCATTATGCAAAACTAACATATCCTTCACGACTATTTTGACAAAAGCTTAAGACACACCTGATGAAGCTCAACTTCCAGGAACCGAGGACCGCCAGGAAACATTAGCCTCTACATTATGCATGCATTTAGAAGCTTACCCGAAATCTGCCTTTTATAAAGGAATAGTATGGACAAGTGGAACTGTACATTTTTTAACTTGATCGCCATTAAAGCAGAAATTATAAGGTTGCAACAATATCTGTTTCTAGTCAGTCATTCAGCTTTCTCAGAGTGTGAAGTTCCGTCTCCTCTTCTGAATTAGCGTCCTTCACGTGTGTTAAAGCCCCGAACACATCAATTTTAATTATTTTCTTAGTTTGGCCCTTGATCAGTTCAAACGGGTGAAAAGATGATTCACGAAGATGAAAAAATTTAGAAGTCGGCCCTTCACCCCGTTTCCCCACCACAGCATCCAGGTGCTGAAGGCAGTCTCTCCTTCATCCATGCTCTCGATTCTGCCCCCGTCATAGGCAAGCTTGCTGGTCTGAAGCTCTGTTCGTAGACACGGTACCGGCAGGCCAGGTCACAGCCAGGCGCTCGGCCTCCACCGCGCGTGGCGCTCTGAGCCTCCCTCCGTGTCCGCCTGTCTGGGCCCTGTCCGTCCGTCCGACCGCTAGGACGCCAGCCCCATCGGTCCGGGTAGCTGCCCTGCCCGATCAGCGGGGCTGCTCTCTGGATTCCGAGGCCCCCGGGTCCTGCTCAAACGGCTCTGTGGGCAACCACACAGAAAGCTGCTATCGCCAAGCGCATAACCTGGGCGATAAGAGAGGAAGGTTCATTTCGCAGAAGTACAGCTCCCCACCGAACCCCTAGGAAAAACCCTCTTTCGTAGAGTCTCCGTGCTCAGTGAATATTCATCTAGTTCTGCTTAAGCGAGTACTACGGAAACTTTGAATAACCACCTAGTAAGTAAACCTTGCATGACAGACCTGCAACACAACTTCTCAGCTGTTCCTGGAAAGTGAGTTTAAGCAGTTGCTGCCCGGGGCCGGGGGTGCGGGGGGCAGGGGGGTGCCCTGCGAGCCCCGCACAGAGGCGAGTGTCTAGAGCCCCTGCTCACTGGCCACACTTGTGTCAGGACAGGAAGTCGCCGTCCGAAGTGCCCTGGAGTCCTGGTTCATTCAAGTACACATTTTTAGTTGCGTTAAAGAACTGTTCGTTTCTGTGGCCTACAGTATTTTCAGCTGATCTCAAAATAAACTGGTTTTCTAAAAAACTCAAAACCTAGATGTCTAAAATTACATGGAGTCATTGTCTGTTCTTTTTCTTCCTTTGCAACCACTTACACAAACATATTTTTTAGTACCTTTTCCACCCCCCTCCTGGCTTTGTTTTTGTTTTCCATGAGGAATTTGAGTTCTCTCTAATCCAGCTTAGTGTGGGACATAGGAAAGCTAGGTATGAATGCCTTTGGTGATCTTGGTCGAGTGTGAATCTGATGTTGTTCTTAAACTCAGTGAGCCATGATCTGCAATTTTGTACATGATAATAGTATTTTGAAGGTATGGAACCTTATTAAAAAAAAAGTAATTAGTTCTTTTTTTCCCCCAGAGGGGAAAGTTACGTCCTGCAAATAGTCTGTGTCTTATTTTACTGTTGAACAGCAATTGCTATTTATTTTTTTATTGCCTAAACTTTTACATGTCGTGTAGGAATCCCATAGTGCCACCAGGCAAATTCCAAACTCTCATCTGGACGTTACCGCCAGACATCAGTATGCTTGTCGTTTCACATGTATTTAATGTGACCGGTTTTCAGTACTGTATGTGTTAATTTCTACTTTTTTTAATATTTAAAATTGCTTTTAAATAAACATACTCTCAGTTGATCCCAAACATCTGAAATCAAGCCATTTTGTGAGTCGTCCACTATATTCTATTTGGTGAGAATCAAGACTCCACTTGGCTTTGCTCTGGGGGGACAGATAACACAGGTCAGTCCAGCTCCTGTGTCAAAGCTCGCTCTGGATACATACAAATGTCCATCGCTTTCCTCAGCTTACAAAACATAGACCTCAGGGCACCTGGGCAGCTCAGTTGTTAAGCATCTGCCTTCGGCTC